GGGTGACAGGTGGTTTGTGGCAGAGGTTATTTGTGATTTTGTGACGAATGTCTTCTTTCGTTTGGTCTGTTAAGTTGGTGTATTTTAAAGCGGATTCCAGGTCGGCAACGTAGTCAAGTTTGTTCGCGTCTTTAAAGTTGTAATTTAATCCTTTGTTTAAAATTTTAGTTTGCTGTTCGGTTAGTGGTTTGTTCGAGATGTTTGTGACAAATTCGTTTGTGTTGGGATGGAGCTGTTTGTAAGATCTGAATTTTTAAAAAACAATGTGGAAAAACACTATCGTATCGGGTTGAACCTCTTCACGTCAGGGTGAATCATTTCGGAATATTATAAATCATTTCACATTGCATCGAGTCATTTCACATTTTATTTTACATCTTGTTGACAGTTGAATTGTTTCTCCACAGCTCGCGACAAGACCACATTAATTACGTCATTCCAAAACATGTTGAATCAATTCACTACAGCTCGGATCGTTTCAAATTTCGGCAAATCATTTTTTAAACAACGTTCAATTGTTTGCAATGTCATTGAATTATTGTAAAGCAAATCGAATCATTTCACATGCTTATGCATGAACAAATTTCGATCGCAACAAATCGTTTCAAAACCTAATGTATCATTTGCAAACTGAACAAATTATTTCAATACGTGTTAACTCATTGCAAATGGTTTCGATGTTTTCCCAATAAAATGAAAATCAATTGTGATTGGATGGTGTGTGTACAAGGGTTAATTTTTTTAAGAATAGATTCGTTATATTTTTTTATGTAAACATGTCGTAATCAGTTGACGATTAATTTCTTTTTCCGGTAAAACGAAAGGCACTCAAAGAACTCATACTTCTCATCGAGACGTACTTCAAAATCATCCATAAAGTCAAGTTGAAAGCATCGAGCTAAAACGTCAACATGTGCAAATTCTCGCGTTCCCTTCTGAGATGTTTACGAGGATCACAAACATCGATAGGCACCAAGTTCGTCACACCAAAAATCAGTTTATCGTTTGTTTTTATCGTTTACTGCTAATGGTTTCGATATTTCCCCAAAATTATGATAATCAAACAAATGTGAGTAGATGGTGTGTTTAAGGGATGATTTATTCAAGGTATATTTTTTATATGTTTTTTGTGTAAACATGTCGTTATCATTCGGCGATCAATATTAGCCAGACCATTTTTCCAAGTTGGCAAACTTAGAACCAGATCTTACATGCACTCGTTGGCAAATGAGGAGTTAAACAAGACCTTACAGACCAGCACGCAGACAGATCCAAACTTCCAAAGAGAAATAGATTAGTTTGAGCTTGTGAATTCCTCCTGAATTATAATCACTTACTCTGCTGCCAAATGGGAAAATCATTTACAATACTTTGTGTATTACTGCGTCAAGTGTTATGGTGCTCACAAACATTAAACACATGCACGTACGCACGCAAGCTTCTGGCAAAGTAACAAAACAAACTTATTTTTGAATAAATTAACCGTTGAAGTCCATCTTCCGATCACGTTCGTTTCCCGAAAAGTATACTGGGAAAAAATCAAATGTCTGCAATACTTACGATCAATACCAGCCACAGACGTATTCAGGCACCAAGTTTTTCAATTCAAAAATCAATGAATTCTTAATGTGTTTATCGTTTGTCGCAAATGGCTCGATATTTTTCAATTATATGGGAATTAAACATTTTAAACAAACAACAAAATTTTTCTTATTTTTAAGCGCGAACATGTTTCGAGTTATGGCTGACCATAAGCCATAGCAAAAATAATTATGTTTACTTAGTATTACCTCTCTTGTATCATATATAATCCACACTATAAACAATGTATTCTTTTGCGCTGAAGAATAAAGATCGCTGAAGAAATTTATTTGCCATTAAAAGTTTTGCTGTTTATTTAAAATGTCTTCCTAGTATTGTGCTGACAAATTATATTCTAACGGCCTGTTCATATGAGCCCGGTTATATTAGTGAGACATCCCTCTGAGCGAGCCAAACATTACCTTGCTTTCATAAGAGAAATTCAATCCCGCCCGACGAGACGAAATAGCCAAAGAAAACATTTTCCCAAATGCCGCGGTTAAAAATCAACATGGCTCATCGTAGACTGGAATTTTTAGTATATTGCGTGGGTTTATGCCGTTTAAAGTCTATGTTTTTATATTGAAACTACTCTTGTATTCAAATTTCCTGTGTATATTTGGTTTATTTTGGCTTAAATCCCGGTTCCACTTCGTGGGGTTGCAATGTTTTTAATATCATAATTTCATCTCAGAGTTTCGGAAAGCGTGCCAGCGAGTTCATATGGAAAATTTTCATCCCTTGCCGAGAGCTCGACTTTGGTAGACGAGATCATAAGTAGGCAGGATGAAAATTTTCCATATGAACTTGCTATAGCCGTTATACTGAATACCAGTTTTTGTATTCAAATAATGAATTAAACTTATGCCCTTATTCCAGCGTATAATTAGTTTATTTCTGCTTTAATCCCGGTTTCACTCCGTTGGTTGCCATGTTTTAGTAGCATGTCATCTCGGAAAGCATGCCAGCGAGTTTATATGGAAAATTTTCATCCCTCCAACATATGATCTCGCCTTGCCGAGATCTCGACTGTAGGGGAACAGTAGTATTCAATAGGTAAACACAGACTGTAAACGATCTAAAAACCCCATACAATGCTAAAGTTTCCAGTGTTTGATGTGCCATTTCTTTTTTAACTCGCGCCACTTGGGAATGTTGTTTTGTTATTTCGTCTCGGCAGGCGGGATTGAATTTTTCATATGAAAGCGAGGTAAAATTTGACTTGGTCATTGGGATGTCTCGCTATGCGGGCTCAAATGAACAGGCCCTATTATCGGAATCAAATGTATTAATTCAGTATACACTTGCTCTTACAGAAACTATATGAAAAGTTAAACTGACCAAACTTAATGCTAATAGTAATTTGCGAAACACCTTTCGTACACTAAAGCATCATAATATAGTAAGAGAATCCTTCCACTCCTCTTCCTTGCAAACGAGACAAGTCTGCTCAAAAGCAGAGAGCCTTACGCTACAAGTCCCGGGCTTGTGACCGGTATAGCAGAGTTAAAAGGTGAAAGGACACTTGCTTCTATTCTTCAATCTCAAAATTCTATTACTTCGACTCTTCTGGCTTCACTCATACAACCTGAAAACACTAACACCAGTCGAGACTACGCGATCTTATGTGATTGGATGGTGTGCTTATTGTCGATTTCAGTTAACTTTTCAAATGGCGGTTGCCAAGTTACTTTCAAATGTTGCCAATTACATTTCCACATATGGAATGTTCGATTGAATGTGTCAACTTAAGTTCACAAGTTGTGTACTTGAGTACTGAAAATGTGAACTAAAGTTGCAAAGTACTAGCAAACGCGAAAGGTCTTTGTACCCTTCATTTGACGAAGCTTTACCAAATAGAAGTAAGAAATGAAATAATTGAAATGTGGTTAAATAACGAGCTTTTGGCAAACATTTCGATGCAACTAAACCTACCGTATAAGATATCAAATATAATAGATCTATATCGAATGTAATAGATCTATGGGTAAACACTGGTTCTATTGCACCTCGCCAGGGCGAACGTGATGTTCGAACCACGGGTACAGATGACATTGCCTACACTGAATATCTAAAAATGAATAAACCATCTATTTACGCAAAAGAGATTCAGCAACACCTAGAAAATAACAAAGTTTGCCTTCCAGCAAACATACGTAGCTGGTCATCCATTAGTAGAATTTTGAATAAAGATCTTGGTTACACTTACAAGATAATAAGTCAAATTACTCGAGAGACACAACGGCGTTATGGAGAAGTTAGAAGCTTACGTAGCATTTATTTCATTGATTGATTGCAGCCGTATGCATTTCTTTGACGAGTCGTCTGTAGTTGTTACGAGTGGTAACAGACGTCGAGGGCACAGTATGCAGGGTACTCCTGCATTTGAAACCCAACGATACGCTTCTAGTGCCACATTTACTGTAAATTTATTACATAATGTAAACGGCGTATCGCATTATAACACTGTCAGAGGGCCGTCAAACGGATTAGAATTGCTAAAGCTTTTCCTTGCTTACTGAACGGATTCATTGCCAAATGTCTACAGAGTACGAAGACCTTTAGCGTTTGCTAGTACTTCGCAACTTTAGTTCACAACTTCAGTACTTAGGTACACAACTTGTGAACTTAAGTTGACAAGTTCATATCGAATATTCCACATTTGGAAATGTAATTGGCAACATTAGAAAGTATCTTGGCAACCGCCATTTGAAAATTTAACTGAAATCGACAATAACGGTTAATTTATTCAAGAATATATTGGCTACATTTTTTGTGTAAACGTGTCGTTGTCAATACACAATTAATATTGGGCGCCCTTTTCCAAGCTGCCAAACCTAGAAGGTACTCAGAGACCTCTTACCTCCACAGCGCAAACTATAAATGAAACTCCTAAGTTAACGTGGTCCAAGCAATAATTTAAGTTTTATAATTCCTCCGAAATTTTAATGACCCACTCTGTTGGTGAATGGGAAACTCTTTCACAAAATTTTGTGAATTAATCTAACAAGAGTAATCGTGCTGACAAACAATAAACACACACACACGCACACGAAGGTAACAAAACAAATTAGTTTTGAATAAATTAACCGTTAACCCTTTGGGACGGATCGTGCCGTGCTGCACGAATCCTTAAACGAAATGCGTATGAACTTTGAAAAGTCCGTCTCGCAAGGGTTAAGGTTTGAAGCATCTGGGTGCAGCTAGGCTATTCAATAATGCCAAAGTTTTTTACATAAAATAATTTCTATTTTTAAATTACCGTTATAGGCATATAGAAAATGTATTTATAGGATCTTTCAAATGCTGCTAAGGACTTCAATTCAAGCAACTGTTGCTAGCCATCAAATTTATTTAGTCGGTAATCATTATATTTTTTTGATTTGTTGATAGACAGTTATGATACAGCTGTTGGTCGCTAGTCGTTGAACCTCATCGAGACGTCATACAAATACTTCAAAATCATCCAGCATGCCTAAATGAAAAGCACCAAACTCAACGGTCAACACGTATGTAAAGTATATAAAGACGAGAATCAGTTAGTTGAAAATCATTGTTTATGAAAAATAGAGATCTGAGGAAGCATTAAAGATAACACTGAAAACACGAAGTTGGACTATCAAAAAGATGTATACATTGGGCTTTTTGTTCGCACTTTGTTTCTGCAACGTCATTTCTTACAAAGTGAACTTGGACTCTGAAGGTATAGAATTTTATACGCGAAATTGTAGGTTGCATAAGATGCATAACACAATTTTAGCAAACGATTTGGCCTTCATCCCTGGCACAGTGCTGTTTATATTATCATTATTACCAATGCATGCAGTGTGACAAATACGTGAAGAATTAAGTAACTTTGTATACGGAGGCTGACATTTGTTTTGAGTTCAATCTAATTCAATGTTGACCGTTAATTTTCATGTGTTATGCACACAACTTTCAGTACGTACAAAAATTCGTTAAATATATTTAAGACAGGTAACAACTAAAAACTATACAGGTTTTTTGCAAAGTATCTAGACATGTTTCAGGGTCGCTGCAAATGAGTTGCAGTTGAGGTAGAGGGCTGGATTTCTAATTTTCCGACCAATATAAGAAATTCGGCCTTGCTTCATTATTTATAAGTTACCAGGCTATTTAACTTGTTGTATCTATGTATTTAGAGTATAAAGAATGGCGTCGTGGAGTTCCTGCACCGGCATCATCAAAAGAAACTAGTACTGGTAAGGAAAAGCTATATGAAATGTATTTGTGTTGCAATCTTTTTATAGATTTATTGTAGATGGCAAGGAAAAAATTCAAAAGTGATCATCCTACTCTCTGTGTATACAACAGATAAAATTAATTACTGTTTGTTTAAAAGTACTTTACTAATTTCTTCATGGTTGAAACATGGTTTTCTTTCTTCAATTTAGGCAAATGTATAAAAGACTTGGTTATTCTCGTTGATGCATCACGGTCAATTACTGGACGAATTTTTAATTCAAAAGTCAAAGCATTTTTGAGGAATTTGATTTCCAATCCTCAGCTTAATGTCGGTCCTGATGGAACCCAAATTGCTTTTGTTATATTCAGGGACAAAGATGACACAAAATATCTTCTAAATTTCGATGCTAGAACACAAGAAGAATACAAAACTTTTATAAACAATACATTGACTTATAGCGATCGTCTTGGTGGTCAAACATATACGGGAAAGGCTCTAGGGATTGTGGACAAAGAGGTAATCTTGTTTTGTAGTCCTATAACCGTATATCTAATAAGTTTTGTATAGTTACATTGACAGAATCGAATAACATACTTACTTTTTTTTAACAAGATCTTCAAAACGAGCAGTCCTGAAAACATCCGACCAAAGATTGATGACGTTGTCTTGTTGCTAACGGATGGTAAACCCAATGGAGGGCATGCAGTTACCAGTGATAAAGAAAAAAATTTGAATTCCGAAATGGTCGATGCCCGAAATCATTCAAAGTAAGGAATTTAAATTTTAAGAGAAAGCATTCTATGGCTAAATTATGAAAACGACCTACATTTTCATGGTGCGTTACAATAATATATAGCTCATAGTTTTATATAGATTTGTATTGTACGAAATGCTTATAATGCGCTAACCAAGTGAAACGAGTCTTACTCTTTTTGTTCGCTGTAAACAGTTTTAAAACCGTTCTTTTATGACTGTCAGAAATTGCTTTTTTAGCACTTCTTTGGTTCTTCAACAAACTTCTTTGGCCGCAATACATTCTCAATCTTACGTCATAGCGAGAACATGCCATACACTCCAAATATGGCAATAAAAATTCCCATAAGCCTTGTGATTTCCCGACTCGTTACATTGTCAGATTGAGAAAATTCTATTTAACGTATGTCTTTAAGCCAAAAAAAAGGGTTCGAAAATTTAGCTTCGTAAGCATTTTGAATTTCCCGTCATCAGTCATTCACCAGTTTTTCTACGGTAAAATATTCACATTAGTATATTCCATAACTGTATGAAATAAAGCTATTTACATGCAATAATTTCAGCTCCTTAAAAGAGAAAAATGTTCTCATTGTTGGTGTTGCTTTTGGCCAGAAAGGAATTGTGAGGAATTTCCTGCCAGAAATTGAAAGATTGTCAACTTCTAACAAGACAACATTTGACAGCGACATTGATAGTCTGGACAAGATACTAGACCAAATTGTTAGCGCTTCCTGTATTAAACCAGGCAAGTCGTGCTTAAAATTTTCCTCAAAAAAGTCGTTTATAACTGATGATCTCTTGTTTGTTGCCGTTAGTAAACACATTAATCAGTTTTACAGTTAATTCATTGGGAAATATAGATATTTTCAATAATGTGAGAGAGGTGGAGGCGTGTAATTTTTACAGTGAAAATATTATTGCTAAATACTGAATACTCATAGATAAACTTGACACACCATTCGGTCATTTATCCGTGACTTCACTTCAGTATTCTAACAGATATAGGGAAATTTTATGAGAACGCATTTAGAAGTTCTTACGTCGAAGACACTCTTAAATTGCAGTCTAACAAACAATCTTGGCTACTAGACCTAATGTTTTGGTCACTCATGCTTGCAGTATATATAGCAGAGAGCAAGCTTCTTGATGCAGCCAGACGTTTTTTACGCGTATTCAAAATAACTTGTGAAAGTAGACTGGTATCTAGAACAATATTTCAGCTATTCATGAAAGATTTTGGCAAAAAAGAAATAATCTATCAAGTTCATTTTTGTTGTAGTATTTATGAAAGTCATTTAGTTTTCTATAGTGTAAAAACGGCGATTTCATACAAATTGTACATCTGGGGCTGGTAGCCGAAGCCTGAATAGCATTAACAAATGGATAGCAAATCTCTTAAATTTGTTAGAATACGAAATCGTTAAAAAACCTCTGAAAAAATCTAAGATTTGATCAATCATTGAAATAAAATACTGTTTCTAAGATTGCAAAATGTCTTCGTTGTAACGAAAACATAGACACCTTTTTGCAAGTTATAAAAATTATTTATCCGTTGGATTACGGTATCCAAGCTTTTTGCATTGTTTTTTCGTGAAATTTTGATTTTTATACTGGTTATATAGCAATATCGAAAATTTACTATTTCCTAATCTGATGTTAATTTGAATTAATATTTTCCTTCCAAAAGCTCAGTGTAGCTGCTCCTCCATTCAATCACAAACTAAGTACATTGTACCACCAGCAACAACTGTTGACGTGAGCTGGCCAACACCAACATTTCAATGTGGAAACAACCAAATTCCCGAGCACACAAGGACAATTAATCCGAATATCGTCGCTCCGCACAGTTTCTCTGTTGGTCATCATCCTATTGAATATACTTACACATTTAGTGGTGAATCTCTTAAATGTTACGTGAACATCACAGTTGAATGTAAGTATTGTTTTAAGCTCAAAGAATATTTTCTTTTTCTGTAATTCATTGATTTTATTCATCTCTACCTACACTGTTATACGTTATCTGAAAGCTTTTAGTTAGTATAAGGAATGTTCTAATTCTCTATTGCTCATTCATCACTATCTACTATATGCCACACGCTTTCTAACTTTACGTTCTAGTTATAGAGCAATAAGGAATGTTCTAATTCTCTATTGTTCATTCATTACTATCTACTATATGCCACACGCTTTCTAAGTTTACGTTCTAGTTATAGAGCAATAAGTAATGTTCTCATTCTCTGATGGTTGTCCATTACTAACTACATTGATGTTGACACACGTTATCTTTTTTCTTATGTATTTTATGCAGTTAGTACAAAGACTGTTCTTGTCCTGTGTTGCTCATTTATCACATTGATACACGTTGTCTTATTTTTCATATATTTGATGCAGTTAAAGATTGTTCTAATTCTCTGCTGCTTATTCATAGTGTTGGTAAAAAATTTTCTTGCTCTCTTTCACAGCATGTAAATGCCCAAATACGGCACCAATAATCAAGGATCTTGCACCAGGAAAAACCACGGTGACAGTTGAATGGAGAAAACCAGAGCCGAAGTGTCCACATACACTGAGTAGCGTATCACCATCAGAAGCAAAGTCAGGTAAAATGAATTTTGGGTTTGGGGAACATGTCATCACCTATAGTTGCAACATCAAAAATGCACCAAAAAGCCCTCCTCTTAAATGCAAATTGAGGATCAATGTTGGCGGAAAAGTGTGTGGTGGAGTTGGTATGTATTCTGCGCAAGTCTGTTGTTGTGGTAAGGCTTATGACAGTAAACCAAACCACGAGTGTTGTGGATACCAGTACTACGATAAAAGTAACAAGAAATGCTTTCATGATTCCAACACATTGGTAGATTTATCGCCATGAAAGTTCTCTTAGAAACATTGGTCAAAGTTCAAATAAGCTTAAGCAGTACTTTTAGTTTCCATTTTTTTCATTTGCATATGATATATCAAACACACTATGACGATTTGTTGATTTTATTCCAAGTATAAGTATGTACTATGTAGTATGTGTATCAACATTTAAGTATAATTATATCTTCGTTATTGATGATTGTACTATCAAATGCAGGTTTTTGAGCTTTTTTTATAGACAATTCAAACTTCATAAATATGCAAATCTTTATTTCGATATGAGGTCGTTGTATTTTAATTTTCATAAGATAGTCAGGGCGTGATGAAAAAGGAAAGTGCAAAGTTTTTGTTTACCCTTGACATATCATTTTAACAACAAATTCAGTGTGACCATATGTTTGTTAGCAAGTTTTACTAAACCTTTGCTCAAATTTTACTAAATGTACCAAAATTTTACTCGATTATGACTTTTCGCACTTTATCCCCCTTTGATTTCATGTAACATGCAATGACATCCCTCTAAGGCGCCGTTTACACGAGCCCGGGTTGATATTCAACACGAGTCAGACTGCAATATGTGGTTATGTTTACGCGAACGCGGGTTAGAACTGATTCTCAACCCGGGTTAGCAATTCTCAGCCAGGACTGGCTCGAAAATAAAGCCAAAACAAGCCAACCCGGTTTTTCATGAAGAAATGAGCTAAATTTGACGCTTTAACACCTACCTAACCCGGGTCCACCCAGATCTTGAGAAGAGTGCCACGGGTTGGTTAATTGACCCGGCTCTCGTCTAAACGTTAATAAAAAATTGTATATAGACGGGGAAATTCGGGTTGGCACACCAACCCTGGCTTGCTGTCAACCCGGGCTCGTGTAAATAGGAATTAAGTGAGTTATTAAAAAAAATATTCTTTGAGTTTTTTTCGAATGTGGTGTCTATTCCTGTGCTTTTCTACATTCTTCAGGGGATTAAACCAAACACAATAGCTAAACAATCAAAATATAGTAAAATTGGACTAACTAGTCTATCTCACTGATATGTATAAAACTGGATAACGCAACTTAGTGCTTGACTCATTGAACTAAATAGATGAAAGGCTACGTCAGTCGATATTTTGAAGCCAGTAGAGCCGAGTTTCTCCACGCATTTGTAATCACACGGCCAATAGACAGAAGCGTAGAATAACTTGTATAAACTACAAATTTCCAGAAACAAACTTTGGCAAAACTTAACTTGACAAATGAGACTTCACGCTAAGTATACACCACTTTTTTGACAGTTACATTTTTGAAAAGGAAGTCATAGCCACAACTATAAGGAATTGGCCTTGGAAGCCAAGCCACAACTACAAGGAATTTTGCTGCTGTTATTTGTTTTGGTATGTCTCCAAATGTGCCAAAAACTAAAGCGTTTTTGTTTCAAAGTAGCATAAATATGCTCATAAATTCTTAGCAAACATCAGTTTTGTAAATGCATTTTTGCCCAAAACAATTATTATTAATGTTTTTCCGTGGACTTACAAATTTACAGAAAAACACAATTTTATTTCAAACTTATACGAGATTTGGTTTTATAAGATAAATTAGATAATATATGATAATACTTGTCATATACGCCCAAACTAAAGGCTTCTATAAATATGTGAACGTACAAAAAGTTTCATAGAGAAGCATGTATATTATTGAATACATCCAGTTGAATCCTTTCAAAATAGAAAAGTACTTGCTAAAATGTTCCGATTTGTATAAATTGAACGATCAACGATGTTATTGTTTTTCACAATTTCCACACTTTGATATTTTCTGAATGAAGATTATTCTCCATTACAGAATATTGACTGAATAAAGATTAAGCCCCCATTACCTTTTATGCCACAATACTTTTTTGCGTTTATTCTTTGAATAAAATCAGACAAAGGCTTCGGTAAAAAATAAAAACAATGTATCTTTGACAAATCTCGCGTAACGTGTAGTTTCGCGAGTGCAATACACGTAAATTGACCTCCAGACACGCGTGTGGAAGTTTGGCTTCATAAAATTATTAGGCTTTTTTATCACAGGTAGCCTTCTATCTATTATAGTTCAATGGCTTGACTTGAAGCCAGGCGGCTGCCATTTTTGTCAAACGTTACTTCCACAAAATTGGCACTCTTTCAAACGTTTTTGCTGGTCCATTAACTTAAAACGTGTAATTTTACAGTAAAATGTAAACAAACTTCATAAAGCTAACTGCAAAACGCAAAAAAAAACAAAATTGTTTACGAATGTGAGTCGAAGGAAAACACTCGTAAAACATTTTAACTATCCAGACGATATAATTTGAAACGATTTGTTTTTTACTAACGAAAACTAGAAAAGTGAAAGCCAACCCGTACAAGACAGCAAGGAAGAGAAAGGAGCAAGCTTTGTTTCTAGTCAATGCCATAAATAATAAACCTTTTATTAACCTCATTTGCTCGGCCTTTACTGAGAAATATCGGACCTCTCTTTCTTTTTGTACAAGCCTCGCCCTACGGGCCAAGTTTCTACAAAAAAAAAAAATCGGTGCAATATATTTCCTGAAAGACCTCGAGCTCGGTTAATAAGTGCTTATTATATATATCAGTTCTCATCTTCATATTGGCACTCATTGCTTGTGAGAACATAGGCCCCAAGTTCCTTTCTTTGGCTGACCCATGTCAAGGTTTCTCACAAAATAACTTTTCCAGAAATTCCTTTCGCTCAGCATCTCCTAAAGGTCGATTTCCATCAAAGCGAAATTGTTCGATCGGGCAAATATAGCCTGAATGAAGCATGCGTGTAGCCAAAATGTTGGAATAGCGATCGAAGCGCGCGTATGCGCTTCGAAGTTGAAATCGTCTCGACCATTGAGTTCTATTAAATTACCTGAAAGGGAAAAGGGGTCTGGGACCGGTTATCAAAAACATGGCGGTGAATAGGAAATTTTGAATGAAAAACTTCCACATGAAAAATTATTTTTATTATTCACTCCCCTTGATTTCATCACAATCATTTAATCAGTGCAAATTGCAAAATTTCAAATAAATGCACACAACCAAATACAGTAATAAGGCAAAAAAGAATGAATTTTTTTATTCAAATAATTGTTCTCATATATGGAATTGAATTGGACAAACACGCAATTATACGAAGAAAATGTACAATAAAGAAACTTTGATTATTTTCACATCGCTATGAAATGTCGTCATTTTTGCGATTTCCTCATATAAGTGTGTTTACGCTGTAATTATTCAAAACTGGCGAACATTTTGATGAAAATATCAAAATTTTACATGAAGGTTATGAACTCTCCTTAAGTAAACTACACATTTTAGTAAAAGGCTTCGTCCAATTATCTTTTTAAATTAAATACACAATTTACATCTGGAAAATTTAATGTTGAGTTCATTTTGTCTGGTGTCATTATCATAACAGGATGTTACTATAGCAATTGTACTGAGTTCATTTGAACAAAACATATTTAATTTGGCTTTATGACTATTATGTACAAATCATTGACATTTTTCGATTTGTAGTAAAATACAATGTATTTTGTTACGATACTGCATTCACGATACTTACGAAGTCTATGAAGCGGGACTTATCGAGCAGAAAAGCGACAACACTTCGCAATGGCACTAGATATTATCATATTAACAGAATGTCCGTGTACGAAATATCTAAGATAAAAGCCACTACACAGCGTCCAAACTTGATAAACCTGGGGTTAAGATCTTATTTTGTCATCAGTGATCCTGAAAATGTACAAGATTTGCCTAATACTTTCAAGATTCGGCGATAAAAAGTACACAAGACGGCAAAATATGGCTGAAAGCGAGTTTTTGGAGAAAGGTATGCGAAATATATTCTATCGTATGCCAGCAAAAACAACGTCAAACGCTTGAAATAACGAATAATTAGAGTGAGTTGAGAGTGATTTTTCATCATATATGATTTTTTCTTTGAAAATATGAAAATTCAATCTTTGCCAAGAATATTTGTTAATTTATGCAAAATTGGCATTTGACCATAGCTGGTGTATGGCAATTTTCTCAGTAAATATTAAACTTTTGTAAATATTTCCTCCCATGACGACCCCTAAAAGTGAACCTTCTAAGCACCTTAAGCACTACAGAATTGTTATTGCTATTTTTTTCTGGAAGTTAGAGCTATGTCGACATTGCCGTTTTAGGGGGATCTCAATTTCAGGACGTTCGTTCCAGATTTAGCAAATGGCACATATGTCATGTTGTTCGTCATGATCATTTTACCCAAAAACAGTTGAGATAACTTCCGGTAAATGAAATGCATACAAACTTTTATACAGTTTCTACATAATGCAATTAATACACCAATCAGGTGGTGAAATAATTGTTTCAACTGTATATTATGGATTCACCACAAACAACAAAACTTCCCATTTCATAACTCGTTTCATAACATATAAATAGCTAGCAAAACTGGAATATCATTATATTTAGATGTGTAAATATGACTTTAACGTCCTCACCAGACAATATCAAAAGTCCAAGAACTTTTCTCGCGAAGCATTAATGAAAACTCTTCTACTAGTTCATTGTAACACTGATAGGTGCTCAGAACTTCAAGTAAAGGACCACAAGTATGTGCAACAGGCCGGCGGGCTAAGCCATTTAAGTCAGTAAATATGCGACCTTCAACTTCATTTCTGGCAGAACCATATTGGCTCCAGTAGCGAACTGAAGAAATGCGATGACGTTACTTCCTAGAGACTTAATGAATTTGGTCAAGTGGTCTAACGTTACGTGCTCGTTGTCATTTTGCGGAAATGCATCAAGCATTTTAATGACTTTCTTCGGGGTAGGCTTTTTTTCATCATGAAATAAGACAATGCATGTTGGAGATAATCTGGAATTCTCTACCTTCGCTCTTCAACGATTAAAGCATTGGATTCCAGCAGTTCCTCACGTAACGCGGTTTCTGAATAAGTTCTTTAATGGGCAAGTTGTGAAATAATACTTTCGATGTTTTCGCCGTTTGGCTATCTGTAACAGTTGAAGCTGCTCAAAATGTCCAATAAGTATATATTTTGCACAAGATTCTCACGATTTTTCAAGCAATCATCGATTACATCTTTTTTATACAGCTTAAATGCTTGTAACAGCAAATCATCAGAAATGTTGTCATCGCCTAGAATACAACTACCGACAAAAACGACTGACAAGGAAATGGGAAAATTCCTTCTTTGCTGTATCCGTTCACCAATATTCTGGCTATTGCTTCCCACTGATCTCTCTGAT